TGGAGAGGTAAGGAAGATAAGCGCCCTGTTGGTGTGATTTATGCATGTTCCTGCCCTAAGTAGTAAACATGAAGCAGCATCTGGTAGCATGTGGGGCAGCAGGTCAGATTTTTTTCCCCAAAGCCTCCAACTCTGTCGCCGACTGATGACATCATGTGAAATCTGTGGCCCTCACTTGAACCTGGATGCATGAATCAACAGCTCTGCTCGTCGACAGCTGGAGGCTGCAGTTTATTGGGCAGGAGGAGCGTTGTGAGTCATCCCAGTGGAATTATATTCAGACAGAGGGGCAGATTTATGATACACAGAGTGTGAATCCCTGTTAGAGAGTGATCATGATTGAGTAACTGAAGATAATTCGTTGCAATGAGCAACTTGGGTAAATTTTAACAACTAAGCAACATCATAAGTGTCTTTGCTTGTTTTTTGTCATCAACAGAAAAATATTTTTGGGGGTTGAATCTGCGTCTGAGGCTTGTTTTACAGGCGGTTATAGGCTGTGGTGCATGTTTTTATGGGAAACTAAAAAGCAGACATAAGCTGGCTTCACTTTCATTCCATGGCCGCCCCACAACTTATCCCCACAGGAAGCCCAGGAGCCTTTCCAGCATCCTTCATCTCAAGACAGTGAGCTTCACCGGTCAGCTATGCAGACTGGCTGCGAAAACAGAGGAACATTGCTTCAATGGAAAGGTTTTCGCGTGTTTATAGGCAGGTCAGTTGGCCCACATTGTTGGGACAGGTTTGATCCAATAATAGGCTGTCTGACAGTACAGCTCTTTATGAGACACCATATGTTATGAGAACAGGATGAGAACAGGGTGCTGTAACACATGCTGCCAGGACAAGAAAAAAATAAATAAAAATACAGTAAGGAATGATGTCTTCTCAAATGTAGCCGATGTAGAAACTCTTTCCACGGTGCTCAAATGAGCCATTCACATATTTTCTGGTGGCCCACATAATATAGGTCCTTGTCACATGTATGTATGAACTTGTACATTCTGTAAGTTTAATATTAAAAATATACTCTATATATAATCAAGGTTTTTTTTTTTTATTACAGCTACTTCTTGAAGTTGTAATATTTCTTGTAGAAAGTCAACAAAGTATAATGATATAATGTAAAATCACTAGTTTTTGTGCTGTTCTTTAAATTAAATGCTTATATAGAGCTATAATAATTTATTGTTTCCAATTTTAGAGTTATCTCTTTTATTCATGCATTTGTGTGTGTAGCTCTTTATGCCACCAGAAGACTGAACACTGATCCTCTGATGATAAATTGTTGCACTTTCTTAAAGTTGAGCTGCTCACAAGACAGATTTTTTATTTATTTTTTTTAAGAATGGCTAAAATCAAAGAAACAGAAGCAAAGTTCTAGTTTATTTTGCTTAAGCTCCCAAAAATCTAGAACCTTCACTTCCCACAAAGCAGCCGACACTTTTAACTGACTCGCTCTCTGCCAGGAAAATGTCCCGGTTTATGATGCAGGCTTTAGCCTCTCACTCCAAAACGAGATAAGCCCAGTGACACTATCAGGCAATTTTTATTTTATGTTCTCCCTGAGAGCCACGGAAGACTTTATGCTTTGACCTTTACTGTATAGGATGTGTGTAAATGTTAGAGCTGAGGGGCTCTTTAATTTAATATCGTGTTAACTGGATATATTTTGTTTTTATTCATATTTTATTTTGTGTTTTGTTTTTTTCTTTGTCCCTGACTCTGTTATAGCCTTCACATATCAGCATACTCTACTATTGTGTATATTATATATGTAAAGGAATAACATGTCATAGATACATAGTTGAATCCATAATGACACATAATAGTCCATAAATTCATCACTTGTTTTGTATATGAAATACTGATCTGTAAACAGCTCAGAGACTGTCCAGTAAAATGTACCATCTTCCCCCAAGAAATATACTTATATATAACTTGCTGACTTCCATCCATTCATTATCTATACACCGCTTCATCCTCACTAGGGTCGCGGACAACTTAGAATCACCAGTTGACCTCAGTATGTTTTTGGACTGTGGGGGGAACCCACAGAGAACTCATGCTGCATGGGGAGAACATGCAAACTCCACTCAGAAAGATCCCGGGTGTCCTCATCTTCTAGCTGTGAGGTGACGGTGCCAACCACTTATCCACCTTGCAGCCCAACTTGCTGACTTTCTCAACATATTTAAACAAGAACTTGTTTCTTTTGAAAACAGTGCCCAACAGAGAAAGGTTTTCTTTTCAGACTAATTACACAGTGTTATATCCATCAGGTTAGAATCTGGGGTTTCAGATTAGGTGACAACGGTTAGAACCTCCTTAAGGTGTAAGAGGTGAACTGGTCACACCAGCAAATTCATTCATCCATCCATCATCTATGCACCTATGCGACCTCACGAGGGTCGCGGGGGGGTTGGAGTCTATCCCAGCCGACTTAGGGCAAAGGCAGGGGACACCCTGGACAGGTCGCCAGTCCATCGCAGGGCTACACTTAGAGACAGACAACCAAGCACACTCACAGTCACACCTACGGACAATTTAGAATCACCAATTAGCCTCAACATGTTTTTGGACTGTGTGAGAGGAAGCTGGAGAACCCGGAGAGAACCCGGGGAGAACATGCAAACTGAACAGAAAGATTCCGGTGCCCCCACCGGGACGCGAACCGGCGACCTTCTTGCGAGGCAACAGTGCTACCAACTGCGCCACCCTGCAGCCCCCAGCAAATTCAGTTGTTTACAAAAAGAACATCAATCTACAATAAGAAAGAGATAGCAAAAACATTACCTGAATGAGAGGTGTGCCAGGAAAATCATTTGCTATTAGTACATTACATTAGAAAAAAAATAAAAAACCAGGCCTTTTGGAACAATATGGTCCGGACAGATGACTCTAAGATAAAGGTATCTGGTCACAGTAACAGAAAACACGTGTGTGACCAAAAACAGCTGTTCAGGAGACGAACCTCATGCCAACTGTGAAGCACGGTGATGGAAATGGATTCTGCTTTGGGGGCCACTTTGGTGCCTTGGGGTTTGGGCAGCTTGTTGTCATCGACTCCGCATCCTATCAATGATTATTTGAAGATAACGTGAGACTTTCTGTTCAAAAGCTGAAGTTGAAGGAAACCAGCAACTCAACCTGGTGTACTCAAGCAAAGAGCAATTAGCTTACATTTCATTTCAGTACTACACCTCAGGAAACATCTTTACTTCCAGTGCTGTCCACTAAGGAAAGAAAGAAATATTGTTTGTAGAGCTGTAACAGTTTGTTCAATTAGATGCCAACTACTAACAACCAACTGTTTTGATCATTGATTAGTTAGTTTGAGTATTTTTTTAAGGAAGAAATGTTCCGAGTTTTTACATTCCAGTTTCTTAAATCTTTCCTTCTCAGTGACAGTAAGCTAAATCTTTGGGTTATGGACAAAACAAGACGATGGAGGATGTCTATTTGGTCTTTAGTAAACACTGATCGGCCTTTTCTTACATTCTGTATACCAAGCTAGCCACTCATCGGATTTCCTTGCACTTCCTCATGCAGGCTAAACAGATCAATCAAGACATCCCTCTACCGAACAGCATTTTCCAGTTCCTCCTGGGGGGTTCCTAATGTGTTCCCAGGCCAGGTGAGTTATGTGATCCCTCCACCAAGTTCTGGGTCTACCTCAAGGTCTCCTCCCAGTTGCCCGGAAAACTTACAAAGGAAGACACCCAGGAGGAACCCTAATCAGATGTCTGAACCAACTCAGTCAGCTGGCAGCAACTCTCCTCCAAGCTCCCTCCGGATGTCAAGGCTCCTCACCCTGTGTCTAATGATACGTGTCCACAGGGGCGTTTTTTTTAGATGTGATGGGGTCGCGCCACTTCCCAACGCTGGATGCTCGGTGGTCGTACAACTGGGCAGTGTCAGGACAGATGATTGACAGGAAAACAACCTTCACCCTCCTGCAGCCGCGCAAACAACGGCTGCACTGGGTTGGAAGAGCAATTCACCCAAAGGCTTGGATCTTAAAGTGGACCAACATGGTGCTTGTCTGGAAACTTTGCAAACACACCACTACAACATGTTTCTGAAAACTTTAAGGCAAGAGATAAGCAATGCATTTGCTGAAACTTTCTTCACTGGAGATTGCAAACGGTTGGTTTCAAGGTTTTCTGGGAAGGCCTGGAACGGTGGCTCATCATTTGTAAACTCAACTTAGCAACTCTCTGTCTCTGAAAATGCATTGCGGTGCCACCAAAATGCATTCCACAGCTGCTTAAAGGGAAGAATTAAAGTGATGGATCCTGTGGACATGTATTTTAAAACAGAGCCTAGCCACCCTGGAGAGAAAAGCTCATTCCAATCACTTGCATCTCATTCTTTCGATCACTACCCAAAGCTCATGACTGTAGGTGAGAGCTGGAACTTAGACAGACTGTTAAATCGAGGACTTTGCCTTCTAGCTCAGCTTCCTCTTCACCATGACAAGTAGATATGACACCAAACAACTAATCGATGAGTAAATCTACGATATAAAACAATCATTAGCTGCAGGACTAATCTCCTTGCTCATGCCTTTATGATGCCTGTTATGATTCCTTTGGCTTCAAATATAAAGCTGAGATCTGCCTTGATGTTTACTATACACACAAAAGACAGTAAAAGTCAAAAACCTGCGTGCTCAGGCCTCAAAGTTATTTCCACCTCTCGCCTGTTGGTGTCGCTCTTGCTCCTCTCCCTCTCGGAGTCCCCTAAACTCACACATATTCACACACAAACACACACACACACACTCGCGCTTCAAACCCGGATGGATGACTTCACCGTTCTGCCTGGGTTTCCTTTATGATCCCGGGATCTCCCACTTCCCTCGCCAGACATCAGCCAGCAACGCAGGCGAACGCAGCTCTCTCTCTCTCTCTCTCCTCTCTCTCTCTCTCTCCCTCCTCTCTCTCACTCACTCTCTCACGCACACACATACATACACACTACGGTCTTTCTCTGCAGCTGCAAACACATCTAGAGAGCACAGAGAGACCACAGCAGCAGCCGGACCTCACACACACTCGCACGGCGGCCCCTCATCCAGTTACGCTCAAAGAGGATCCCAGCAGGAGACGCACCAACCGCTGCACAAAGAGGAACCTACGGCTGCACTGCGCACACGTCTCCAACTCGAGGAAGACTTTTTTATCTACTTTTTGTTTTTCTTCTCGAAAGAAAAACCCTCTCCATAGGGCTTGGTGATCCTTCTCTGTCGTGCCACAATGTCCGAGGTGCTGCCATACAACGAGGGGAAAATGAACGGCTACGGGGCGGACAGCGAGGTCAGTCAGATGTCCTTTAGCTGCGGACTGCAGGACACAAGCGCCTTTTTCGCTGCGTCGCAGGCGAAAAGACCCCCAAAGCTTGGACAGATCGGCAGAGCCAAGCGAGGTAAAGGATGGTTTAATAAAATGAAGGATTTATTATTCTTCTTATTATTATTATAACTGACGCAGGAGCGCAGTTATTAATGTGGTGCAAAATGAGCCAAATACGCAAAAACCTGCAGTGTGTTAAGTAGATGAATAATGAGTCCAGTGAATATAATCATCACCATCTTTTATTCTAAGCCATTCAATTTCCAATATTTGTTGCTTTGAGAATGCACCACAGTGTTCCTGATCCGAGGGTCGAGTTTTGGATGACAAACTGTTTACATTTACGCACTAGAAAAAGAAAAAAAAAAAGATCTTTCGTGCAAAGGACACACCCCGCGTTGCACTCATCAAACAATAAGATAAAAGCCTGGCTGGTCGCCATTACAGGGGAACGAGTTGTTTTCCACCACGGCACGATCGATGGTGGAGGATTTGCACTAGTGCTTTGTTATTTATTTATTTATTTCTCCACCTGCAGCCGCGCCACGGCCACATTTACGCGCACTTAGTTTGGTGCGACACGTTGTCCCCTTTTTCTGTGCGTAAAAATCAGGTTGTGGTGAAAGAAATCGTGATTTGCAACAGCAATAAATAAAAACATGTTACGTGTTGGCCCCCGTTGGGGTTCTCAGCTGTCATGGTGTCAGTAAACATCCCTTCTTCTCCTCTCTCTCTCTCTCTCTCTCTCTCTTGCTCTCTCTCTCTCCACAGTGGTCATCGAGGACGACCGAATAGACGAGGTCCTGAAGGGGATGACGGACAAGTCTTCACCCGGCGTTTAAACACGAGCGATGCCTTGCAGACTTTTTTAATTTTGATCACCGATTTGAAGCACTTGTCGGCTGTGCATGTTCGAGGATTGCAGGGAGAAAAAAAATCGACGGCACGAAGCGAAAGGACGGGATGATGGTGAAATGGGGAGAGAGAGAAAAAAGAAAATGGCAAAGAGGAAGATGAAGGGGGAAAATGGCTTAAATGAAGAGATGTGAAGAGGAGGAAGAAGAAGAAGAAGAAGAAAGAGTGAAGAGGAGGAGGAGGAGGATGAGGAGGAGGAAGAGACTCTGGAAAAAGACCAAGATTTATCATGGGATTGCTGGCAATTCTCCAAACGAATCCCGATTTTAACTCCTGCTGCGCAGCAAGATGTTGAGATGGCGGACACTCTGCTCTGTATCTCAACCTCTGCTGACTTTAATGATGGATGAACTTGTCATTACTCCACGACCATCTCTCTTGTTTCTTTTTTTTCTTCTTCTTCTTTTTTTTTTCCCAAAAAGCGCTGTAAGCAACAAAATACTGCAACTAGAGGGTGAAGTTAAATCCCAGCCCTATTTCAATAAGTTGTACAGTAGGTAGGCTAAGCTCTCAGACGTCCCCCCTTTCCCTCCCTCCCCCCTCCTCTCTCCTTTAGGCTTTGCTTTGTTGATTCAGTCAGCGACGGTGCATTCAAGGGAGCTGTCCTTTCAGCACTGATCCAATGCATTCCTGTTGCTGCTAATGCTTTTTTAAAAATACAATTCAAAAAAACAAAAAAACAAAAACAAAAAAAACAGACCAACCAAACTCTCCAATCTACTAAATAGAGGAGACCCATTGTATGTAAAAAACACACACATATATCCGAGGATGGTGCAATGTTAATATTTTCTGTAGTAGAATCCCATTTGTTTTGGCACTTATACAGCATTAGGCCTCATGTTAAGCTGAAAAACAGGCTACATTCTACTTCTTGCATTACCCATCAGTGGTTAAAAGGTGCAGGCTGGCACCTCCATGTAGCTGATTTACACCTGCACATATCTTTTTTTTTTTCCTTGCATTTTTAAAAATGCTCAGATATCTACAGAGGCCAGCAGATAATGTGGAGATTATAGTAAATGTTTTAAATAATAGTCATGAAATTGATGGAAAAAAAAAAAACAAGCTTTCTATAATTTGGATATTTTCATTTTTTTGCGATTATTTGTGTTTCGTCCTCTATGGATTTTAAAAGGTTTTTCTCCATCTATTTGCATGAACTGTCACTCCGGTGCCAACGCAGGTGCCACCACTCTTACCCTGGCACGCTTCTTTTTAACAAAAGTCATATTTGTATTTTTATATCTAAATATTTGTTATTTAAATTATATGCTAGTCTATCGTCTTACAATTCATCAACAAAAATATTTGTACTTCAGAGAGGATATACAGAATGAGACTAGGCTTCATGGAGGCGAAGCTAAGATTTTCGGTGGACTGGTCTCATTCTATATCAGATGTCGGACGTTTTTTAAAGACTAACTGAATGTGTCTGGGGTTTTTGCACACATCAATGTTAAACTATTATTAAGAAATCGTATACTGTGACTTGAGCTTCGTTGATGAATTTGTTAGAAAATGGCAGTTTTAGAGTATATTGCACTGTTTACGAGTATCCTCAAATAACACGTTGTTATTTGACCGATTTTGGACATTACAGTTTTTTGTTTTTTAATTTTGTTTATTTTGTACCATTATTTTAAAGAAACTGGATATGGTTTGTTGTGCATGAAACCTTAATATTTTCAATAATGAAACATTGTTTTATGAAGCAAAAAAGCAACAAAAATGTCATGACATTCTAAGAATGAGTCATTGTATATTATGATGCCATTTTCACTGTATTTGGTGAATTAATAAATGGTGAAAGAAAATGTTAATGTGATTCCTTGATATGGCTTTTGTCCCAAGACGCTCTCAGTGAGCAGAATGACAATGAGTCAGTATCGGGTCTTGTTCTGTGAATGAAACCGAAGAATAAAAAAAAGAGAGAACATAGAGAGCACATGAGCTCACCGCATTAACTCTGAGAGATGAACCTTTTAAACAAACACAACTCACACACAGTTGCAGTATTGGCCTGAGCAGCCAATGGAATCAGCAGCCATCACCTTTGTGACAGTAAATACTGCTCCTTAATTAAAGAGCAAGGAAGAAACAGTGATCCATCTGTTAAGCTGTTAAACAGCTCTGTGCTGGCCTACACTAGTGAATCCATTAAATCACAGACCCCTGGGGAGCCACGATTGGCCACATGATCATCTATCACAGTCTGGCTGTACAGTGTCCTCATACTGTAGCTCTCATGCAATGGCGTGCACTCGCTCGCTTCAGTTCGAATCTGATGTAAAACGCTGCCTGTGTCATGTGCAAAGGTCTTAAAATCAACAAACGTCCTGTGGTTTTCTAACCTTTCATGGCCAACGTGTCCTCACTGCAGCTGTCCCATAGATGAGATGATCTACTGCTGAACAGCGTTTAATGGGAGAGAGAACACAGTAGCTTCAGAGAATCTGTGGCAAATCAATACAAGACTTTATTGTCCTGGGATCTGTGATACATCTTGGCCTCTTTTCTCCCATCGTATCAAGTTTGGCTTCACACCCCAGCCATTTGGAGCGGCACAGACTGATGCATTTGTTCATTACTTGTAGTTCTTTGTTGGATTTTTGCCAGATGTTTTAGAGATAACCCTGTAAAGACAATCACTGTCAATTTCCATAAAGAGGTCTGTGAAACTGGGTGAAACTATCAGGTGGAAGAAAGGGGCGAAGATGCTGTTTGCCAGCAGTGTCAGGTTAAAAAAAATAAAATTAAAAAAACAAAATTGTGTCACCCCTCACCCAGCAGTAATACTCAGACCTGAGCAGCTCTGATAACAGCTCAATAAAGATTAATTTCCTAGTAATCACGCTAGAATTCTTTCCAGGAAATCATGCTCGATGCACCATGGATTTTATTTACGTCTTATTTGTTCGTAGAAAAAAGCCCAAAACATCTACAGTAAAAAAAAAAAAAAGAAAAAAGTGACATGTTCTGAAAACAACACATGATCCTTCTGTCATTCTGATAAAAGAACATCAACAAAGCGTCACAAGTGTAACCATCCACATTCCCATCAGCGGGATTATTGACTGTCCTGATAACATCAGCACTGCACTGAATGAACAAATAGTGCTATTGATCATGTTGTTGTTGTGGATGTGTGTGTGTGTGTGTGTGTGTGTGTGTGTGAAGCCATGGACAATTACACTTTCCACAGTAATGGGCAGCCCTGGAAGGCCGGAACCGGACAGACATATTTGGGCAGATATTGAATTGTGTCAGCTCGGCTTCACACCTCTGGCTGTCGTGTGTGTGTGTGTGTGTGTGTCCGTGTGCATGTGACTTTTACAGTAATTTGCTTGAAAGTCCTGCTATCAATAGTGCTGCAGCGCGCCACATCCTCTGGTGTAATGAGATTTGTGTTCTAATGTATAACTGTCCAACTGTTTCACACTCACAAAATATTGTAAAAATGAACACTGCTGATTATCTTTCAGTTAACGGAGCAGCACCGACCACGAGTTTATGCTACAAACAAAGTAATCTGTGCAGCTAAAGCGCCTCATGCACCACAGAACTCCAATGTCATGCGCTAAAACACGCAGCAGACTGTTTCAAGGTGAAGTATCGCTTCATTACTACGAACAAAAGCCGACGCGGTCTCTTCTGTAACTACAGCCCGGCGTCTATATATCAGCTGATGTATTGCGGACGTCGTCTCGTGTACGTTGGGCGATAAGTAACGAGATGCAGCACTTCAGGATTAACAGAGTCTCTGTAGTGTCCACCTGAGAGCACTCAGAGGTGTCAGAAATTCCATTCAAACACTTCTTTGATAAAGAAATGTTAAAAAAGCAGTTATGACATTTCGAGAAACCTGCTTATTAGCCACAATTTTGTACTTCTAGTGTATCATCATTAGATTTGAGTCATGCTGATAAACCTTCAATTTTCCAAAAGTGACTCCCCCCGCAACCTTTAAAGCTTGAGTGTGGGGTTTTTACATAGAAATGAACATCCATTAAAGCCAGATGAGCTCACAAAAGTCTGATTGAACCAATCAAAAATCTTTCAGTATTTTTGCAGTTTAGCAGAGTTTTAAACTCAATGCATCAACTAGCGATGATCAGTTTGAAGATCGGAGCCACCACAGCTGAGCAAAAAATCTAGCAGGGATTCAAGAAAGGTTTCTGGTGCTACAGATAAAACAGCAACTCAGTGTTTAGAGGAAGACATAAAGGGAGACAAAAGTGTCCCCATGCAGGTTTAAGACAGGCAGAAGGTTGGTTCACAACAATATTGTGTCTCCATTCTCAAAGACTCCTGTAAGCATCTGGGTGAAAAAAAAATTCTGCAGAAAAGAAAACAGCAAAAAAGATGTTTAACTTGTGCCTCTTATATCTCACCCCGCAAATGTCTGGACAGTAATAATGAAGCTGGTTGTTAGTTTTGTTCAGCCCTGGAAACGGTGAGTTTGGTTTGTTCTGAAGGTCCAAAATCTGCCAATTTATATC